TATTAAAAGGCACAAAAATGGCTCCAAGCCCCATCTTTCTAATGCAAGAAACATAATTTCTGCATGTGAATTAAATGACACCAACAGGCCACTTTCTGCCCAGTTTAAGTCCCCAGTAAAGGTTCCTCCTGCTGAGCTGAACTATCAGGCAGGCTTCGCAGCGTTTCACCACTTTCTCACTCTCTTTTGTAAACAGTCTCGTGCGTCAGGTGCTGGTGCCAAGTCGTCTGATGAGATTGTTCGCGAGGTGGCAAGCGACATCCAAAGTAAGCTCCCCTCTGACTTTAACATTGAAATAGCAATGAGGAGATACCCAACAACCTACACCCAGAGCATGAACACTGTGCTGGTACAAGAGATGGGCCGATTTAACAGATTGCTGCAAACTATACGAGATTCCTGTATCAACATTCAGAAAGCAATCAAGGTAAGATGAGCTGACGAGAAAGCGTATTTAGTCTGAATGGGCTGGAAAGAGTGACTGTCAACTCCCATTATTTTCACTAGGGTCTTTGTGGATTTGCCCAATTGTTCTTTTAGTTTGAAGGGTTGCAATAATCCCTGGGCTCTGCCCTTCACTGTTATCTGGGAGGAGCAGTTCTCAGTCACTGTAACTTGCTCTGCATAATGCATCACTGCTGATCTAGAAGTCTAGAAGTGGGGACGAGGAATAGAATGAAAAGTCGTGGAAAAAGACAGCAACCTAAACCCGCGGCCTGCCATGCAGCTGGAAAGGTGGTCCAAAAAAAGGTCGCTGAAGTGTCATAGTGACCCAAACTAGCAATGAGCAAGGAAATCCTCTATTCAACTCTTTGCTCTGCTAGGAACTCAATGTGGACTGTCCATTTTCAGTCCTCTCCCCTTCTAGAATATAATACAGAATACATGCCTTATGTGGCTGCCTTAAGGATTCCTACTTGGGTTCTGTATGGGACGGGCCAGCTGATAAATTCATTTTCATGATCTGTGTGATAGAACTTATATAATACAAGTAAGACTATGCCACCCGACTCCCAACGTCTGGGTAAAATGCAAGTATTGTGTAGCTCAAGTACTGAATTTTCAAAGATGTTGCACCTGTCTGTTTGCTCGGAACTGTTGCTTCTGGTCATTATATATCTGACCTTCCACAACTGGAATGTGTAATAGAAATACGAAGGGAGTATCAATCCTAATAACAAGCACAGGCAAGTAAAGCGAGTCAGGGACTCACTTCACACTAATTAATTAATTAATTATATGTTTACTTATTATATTATATATTTATTTTATTTTATATTATTTATATGTGATCACATATTAGCTCAACGCAGGAGTACCAGCTTGTAACAAGGCAGATTTTGAGTGACTGCTGCATAGAGAGTAAGTTACCAAGCTCAGCTACTCCCTGAAGGCATTATTTGGTAAGCTACTGTATATAATATGAAGGGGGGGAAAATCCACTCGTATGTCTTTTCTCTTCCCGTATCTCAAACAGGGTCTAGTGGTGATGTCTGCGGACCTGGAAGAAGTGGTAAATAGTATTTTGAAGGGAAAAATTCCAGGCATGTGGATGAGCAAGTCTTATCCAAGCCTCAAACCTCTTGGCAGCTATGTGAATGATTTCCTTACCAGATTGAAGTTCCTACAGGTGAGCATTTCACTTAAAGTTTTTGATTCTAGGAACTGAAAACACCTTTGCTGATCTGGATCTTTAGATGTATTGATCATCCTGTTAGCGTAATTCATATGACTTTAAATACTCTTACACACACATCTTGTATGAAGTACAACAAATATCCAAAGTGCTATTTCAGATTCTGGGAGCATGTTGTTTACAATGATTTGAGTATTAGGGCATATGTTACATAACCTAGTACAATGGCTGCCTATTAAAGCTGTGCTGCTGAGCATAAAATATCGACTTTTCCAATTACTTGAATGCCTGCACTTTAGAAGTCACCTCAAACTGAAGTACACAGACTGTGAGTGCTGGAGACCCATCTTACTATTATTCTTTGGTAACAATTTGCTGAATATTCCTGCTACTGGTTAAAAGGACATTAACATGAGAATTAGGATTGCATTCATAGGCAGAGGAAACATGGCTGGCCATCCTTGACAAAAAAAAGAGCACAGGAAACGTAACTCTCCTAGACGTGCTGAGGGTATTTAGCAAATTCTGAAGTGAGTTATAGCATGATGTTATCATCTTCTTCAGCCCTTCAGGGTTTCCTTGTTGTGCTACCATCTAGAGCTCAGGTAAGAAATGTGGCATTTTCATATTGTGTGATAACTACAGTCCCTGGCCGCGTTGGCTGGGGTTGACAGAGTCCCACATGGGGTACACCAAGGGTCCATTGTAATGCTAAAAGATCCTTGCACAAACACAAGGCAGTTCTCACAAAACTATTCCAGAAATCTGCTGATTCACCTTTGCCACCCATGCCACATTTAGTAAGGCTTGTCCATTTCTAAAAGAGTGCCCAAAGGGGGGGCGGGG